AAAATATTTTCATTGAATGCATGTAGAATATACTTTATATATAGTTGTCAAAGTGAAAGTTAAATATTATAGGATATTATAAAATAATGTTCATAAATATTTGTTAAAAAAGGAAAGTAAAAGTAGCGGGAATTTTTTTATTCAAAACCTGACAAGTGTCATACCAGATTCACCTTTACTATAATGTAATTGATTTTTTTTTATTTTTTATTAACAAAGGCTCTAGTATCAATGTTATTTATTATCATATTACCAGAAAAAAAAAAACAATGTTAATATCATATCCTATCACCTTTGGTATGCTAGGATATTATGTTATGTAAATGTATTTATTTGATATAATATGTAATAATAATCATTGATTATATTATTTGATTATATATATTAGGCTGATCCAAAGTTATTAGAATCGGGATTCTACTTTGAATCGGTGAGTGGGGTAGAATCGAATCGGTAAAATCGTACGATTCTACCAAAATGTAAAATTGGGCTTCAAAATGTAACAAATGACTACATACATAATTTTATAGCAGTGAGAATGATAATAATATATATTGTTAATAACATAATATTGACATACAAATATAAAATAGTTTTTAAAGTAATTTCGCACGCGCATAACTCAAACAATACACTATAAACTATAAAGTCGGATTATTGGTACACATTCTTAACCATGAGAGTACACGACAGTTGTTGTTAAATTATGAAAAAAATAATGTTGTTGACTCGTAAAGTTATTTTCCCTAGACCCATGAATTATAAAAAAAAATCCAATAAAGATAGAAAACTAAGTGTCAAGTTAGTTCATTTAACGAGATAGCTAAAGAATGACAACTACAACATAAACTCATGTTATAAAAGTGTTTTTTATATGCCCAAAGTTGAGTGCATGAGATTCATGAATACATTCTTATGCCCATAAAAATTTAAATGGTTGGATAGAATCTTAAAAGCTATTAAATTGATGTTTCATAAGCTTTATTATGATTTAGATTGAATAATATGTAAGTCATTGACTAAAGTTAGGTTCAACTATGACATCCTTACACTCTTTACTCTATAACATAAAATATATAAATGATATAAGTACGAAACCAATTTTATCAGAAAGTAGACTTCAAGAGCTTTCCAATGATATATTATAAGCCTAATTCCGACTTCGGAATCAAAAGTTATGGATTTCCGAAAATCAGGTTTTTTGCAGGAGTAGAATCGGTAGAATCGGTATAGAATCGTAGAATCGGTACCGATTCCACCGATTCTAACCGATTCTACCGATTCTATGAGCGATTCTACAACATAACGATTCTACCAGCGATTTACATCGTTTAGGTGGATTAGGATCGTAGAATCGTACGATTCTACGATCTGAATCGCGATTTTAATAACATTGGGCTGATCTCTTATTGCACACTATAAATAGTTGTCCTTTTATCAATAGAATTAAGCTTTTAAACATTATTTTCTCCTTTTATACATCTACTTCATCTGTTTTTATTTACTTGCAACACTTCTCTTTTTACGCTTGCCGATGCATTATTTCAATCGTTTATATATTTAATTATCAATATGTAAAAATTATAAATGTTAGATATTAAAATAGTATAAATCGAGACAAATCTAAGAGCATTGCCACCAATGGGGAGAAAAATGCCCATGGGTAGTTTTTGGGGTTTAATAAAAAAAATAAGTCCCCATCAATGATACGGTCTAAATAAAAAATGCCCATGAGCAAATCAATTTTTGATCAAAGTTTGGGCAAAATTAAAATCTGACCAAGAAGAAATGGGCCCCACGTGCATAGCTGCAATTAAATTTTTTTTTTGCTCACCTTACCTCAAAACGCAGCATTTTGAGGAAGCGTGTGCTTTGCTTCAACTCAAAACGCAACGTTTTGAGGGAAGGAAAAGCAAAAAAAAATACTACTTGCAGCCCTGACAGGCGCGTCAGCACGCCCAATCAGGCGCTGACATGCGTCCTGTCAGGTAACTTGGACCAATCAGGAAATTCCTGATTATTGCAACGGTAATATTTTTGTAACGGGTATTTTGTGCTTTTAAAATAAAAAATAATAATAAATTTTTTTTACCAACGGCTAGAAAAAAAAATTCCCTACAAATAGAGACCCATTTTGCCTATATTTTCATATTTTCAAAATTCACATAAATTTGTTGTATTTACATTTTCTCTCAATTTCTCCCTCATAATTAGTCATCCTTTTAATATTAGTAATAATAATAATAATATTATTATTATTATTATTATAATTATTATTAATAAAATAAATATTATTATTATTATAATTATTATTATTAAAATAAATATTATTATTATTATTATTGTTATTATTGGAAGTATAATTATTATTGTTATTATCTTAGCAGTATTGTTATTAATATTATTATTGTTGTTATTATTATTTTTGTTATTAATATTATTATTATTATTATTATTATTATTTTTATTTGTGTTATTATTATTATTATTATTGTTATTATTGTGTTAGTTTTTGAAATTAATCAATAAAAATAGATATGGATCCCAATAACCCCTTTTACTCAATACTTTCTCAAAATTGTAATGATTTAGATGAGAATTTCATGAATCAACCTCAATTTCAACTTTTCCTACAAAGATTGAGCAACACCTCTCTGCAAAATCCTCCACAACAACAAATACCTCCACAACTTGAAATACCTCCACAAATTCCAACTGAAAACACTGATTACGAGCAATCACCTCCTGTCTACCAAGGAAGTAACTCTCAGTACGATGATAGCCAAGAAGAAAATGTGCCTGAGACACCTCAATACCCTCCGTCGACTCAAAGAATGCCGGTGGGTTCCAACCAACAACTCGCTAAAGCTAGTCGTATTTGGTTAGTCGCAGAAAATGAAGCTCTTATTGGGCTATATTTAAAATACAGTGGAAATGCGATAGTGGGTACGGGCATGAAAGCAGCTGAACTTTGGCGACAAATATCTGTGGCGTACGACATGGTTCAAGCTAAGCAGCCAGAAATACTACCACCCAGAAATGCGAAGAGTTTGGAGAACCGTTGGAGAAGGATGGCGGCAGATGTACTGTTATGGACAACTTGTTATGATGAAGCGAGTCCGTTAACTGGAAGTGGATTCAACGAAGTTGATCGAATTCAAAAGGCCTCGAAGTTGTTCCATATATCATCCAAACCACCACACAATTTGGTTTTACCCCACGCTTGGGAAATGAAAAAGAATGACCCAAAGTGGAGGCCGAAACTCAGATGGGCATTGTCACTAAAGGAACGACAAGATTGTCAACTGCGTTCGGAAGGGGACATCGAGGATAGCAGTGGAAGTGGAAAGAGATCGAGAACTGACAGTGAAGCTGAAGGAGATGTTCCTGTTGGTGGGTTTTCATCAGGAGGTATACCCAGACCCGACGGGGTAAAAAAAGCAAAGGCTAAGCGTAAGGGAAAAACTATTGCTCATGATAGTGCAATTTTAAGTATTGGTGAACTGATACAGGCTTGTACTGAAGTTAGAAGCTTTGAGGCAAATTTACGGCAACAAAGGTTGGACCTTGAAAGGGAAAAGGAAAAGAGGAAAAACAAACAGGTCGAATTACAAGAGAAGAAGATGAAATTTGATATGTTGCAAGCCATTATGTCAAAAACGACGCCACTTACACCAGCTGAAGAAGCGTGGAAGGAGGAACTAATTCAAGAAGTGTATGGTGGAAAGTAAAGTAGTTTATTATGCATTATGATTTCAAGTATTTTGTTTATTATGTTGCAATGAATTAATTTTTATTATTAATTTTATCCAAAAATTAATCAATTTATATTACATTTTCATATATTTTGTTCAATTATGAGTCAAGTACTAGCTAGTGTGTGTAGATTTTGTCTTATACAATTATGAGTGAAGTGGTTGGTTTTATCAACCATTGAACTGTCAAATCCCAAAAAGTAGTCAAGTCCAATTGTAGTTTTTGTTTTATACAAGCATTGAGTAGTCATTTCATACCTAACTTGAACCGTATGACAAGCATTGATATTGATTATTAAGAATTGAGTAGTCATGTATTTTGTTTTTACTATACATTGAGTAGTGTTTTCACACTCAGCTGAAGGACATGCACTGAAAAGCTTTCCTATTTAAAGGTGTTAAATCCATAAATTGAAATCCTTGAGCTAGATCCAATGTGATTTGTAGCAGAGGTCAGAACCCCCAAAGCATAATCTTATATGCCAGATTACCTGGTCATATGCTTTTTGATGGCATAACGGGCAAGGTGACGACACTTAAGTTTAAGGTATGTAGAAGAAGTCTATGTTGTGTTTGTTAGGACTTAGGAAGGTATAAGCAGGGGCCTTAAATCTTATAGAAAAGACTTAGACCTGCATTGAACTGTATACACTCAAGCAGTGCAATTACCGGTGAGGTTTAAGGACATTGGCCGGAACTGTTTAGGAAAAATTGCCTTACAGATGAACCAGGATGTTATTTTAGAAAGTTATCAGGATCATTAAAGTGATCCTGATGTGTTTATGAACAACGATTTTAGGTTAATAATTAAGCTGCTTAAATTATGAATGGTAAATGATGGCAGATTCATATCCTTGCTAAAATCTTGCTGAGAAAGGTGAAAAATCATTAATTAGGAATGACAGAACAAATCGAAGTGTGTATACTAACATAAAATAAAACATGCTCAACTAAGTTTGGATTCCTATATATCAATGATATCTTAAATACACATAATAAGTATATGCAGGTATACAACGCTATGTTTGGTTTCTTTGGATTGTAGCAGTGATTCCCCAACTCTTCAAAAGTCATATAGAATTGAAGAGTCTTGAGGGAACTCCTCAACTCCAGACTTTCAGGTTGCATATATTTAATTTAATGGACTGCTTACCTTCCAAATATTTTCAATCTTTGACAACGCAATGCTAAATTAGGATTAGTATGGATTAGTTTTTGGTAATTTGCCATTTCTGGACGCACTGATGATGAATTTACAAAGAAAGTTATTGTTATTTCATCTTACACTGCACTTTTAACATGCAAATGTAAACTTGCATGTCTGAGCATAGATTGCCATTAATTCTTTTGAAGATAGCCCTCCAGCTTACATAAACCTTAACATACAGATAGTAATAATTCTTAATAAACTGCCATGATTCTACATAGCAATTTATGTTCCTGTCTTATTGTAGTCATGTTTATTCTAGAGGGAGCATCTTATTGTAGTCAAGTTTATTCTAAAGGGAGCATCTTGTCTCAGGGGTGTATCAGATATTTCGGCTCCATCATGGCAGATGGGGACTCTGCACCTTTCGATGGGATGTTGGTGGCTTTGGTGGCACTTGTGAGTTTATTATATTTGCTGTTGGTGGCTTTGGTGGCACTCGTGAGTTTATATTTACTGTTGGTGGCTTTGGTGGCACTCGTGAGTTTATATTTGCTGTTGGTGGCTTTGGTGGCACTCGTGAGTTTATATTTGCTGTTGGTGGCTTTGGTGGCACTTGTGAGTTTATATTTGTTGTTTGGTACGAGCATTTACACTCACTATTAACACAGGGGCATCCTGTTATTCTGCAGTCGTATGAGCTGGAACACGATTGACCCACTGGTAAACCTGCTTAAACAAACAAAGCAGTTAAATTGTGCAACTAAAAATGCTTTATAGAATAGTCAAGGTAAAATAGAAATGTTAGCAGATAGCTTTGTTTACCAATTGCAATAACAAAGAGGAGTACCAACAGTGCTGATTTGACAGTCTTTTCCATGTCTTTGGATACTTCGGAAGCTTTTCGGACTTAAGTTGGTTGAAATTTATTTTGCTTTGTTGTTTATGAGGATCTGTTTGTCTTCTATTTATAGAGGTTTGAAAAGCACTCAAAACGTGTTAGAGCACTGTTTCACGTATCTTTAAATTTAGGCTTGTAAGTAATTACATTGGTATGTAGAACTTTCTGGTATGTTATGTTGGCTTAGGGAGATGGGAACTTCTCTTTTTGTATAGAAGAGATTTTTGGTGATGGACATCAATTAGAAAAGTTGCTTTTACTTTTTAACTCATATGTCTTCAGAATTCTGTTAGGAAGTGAGAAGAACGTGAAGTATAAAGACTTAAGAGGTCATGTGTGTCCTGCGCAGGTTGGACTTTAATCCTACTTTCTAGACTAAGCTACCGGCTTTCGTTGTCAGTAGAAGATATAACCACCACAACACCCTTACTATGAGGTCGGAGTGATGAGAATCGAACCCCCAACAATGGAGAATTCTCTTACTGCCTTTTCTTGTTAACTATAGTTCTTCACTTTTAACCCTTTGTCCCATTAGTAATGTGACAGAGAAAGACTGAACCTCGGAGAAAACCCTGTCATGGAGCTCCTTGCTGACTCTCTTACTATCTTTCCCAGTAAACTAGAGTTGTTCAATTTTAAATTTTAACCCTTTGTCCCATTATAGCACAACAGAAAAAGTACCATGGGTTTCAAGTGCTCTCCTTAGCCTTATTTGGAGCTTCAATCCAAGAGGGACCGAGATTGTGGGTGTGCTAGGCCGCTGCAACAATTAAGGGTCAACAAAGAAAGTGTTTTCTTACTCGATGTGGTTTGTATGAGCTAGTAGAGCTCATCTTAGTAGCTTCATATGTGTGAGGGATCTGTACAACCCTCAAAGCTTAACTAGTGCTGTCTTATTATAATTTGTGAACTATTTTAATTAATGTATGATTAAGCCTATGTCCCCAAAAAAAAAAAAAAGGTTGAACCTTGTTAATTTTGACCATCATAATACTTGTAAATAAATTTGATATGAATTTATGATGTTTTTATTTTTTTAAAAAACTGTATCCTGTTTGGGAAATTGATGATTAAAGTTCATTTAATTTCAATACAGTTCCTCAAAAAAAAAAAAAAAAAAAAAAATTTCAATACAGAATTCTTTGCCAAAATATACTGATATAACAGTCTTTCCCATGTCTTCTGATGCCACAGAGATCACTGAAGTTAAACAACAAAAGCACAAGGTTATTCAGAGTTTCAGACAAACAGATGTTCTATCACTCTTATATGTGTACATTCTAGCTTACATCTGCTTCTGTGCTGTAAGTTATCGCCTTAGGATCTATAGTCAGACTATTATTCAAATGTGGAAAAAGTTAAAAAACCAGAAAATTAACCGTTGTTTTTAGGCGAGACAGTGGACTTAAATCCTGCTATTCATCTATTTCCCTCTTTTAAGACTTTCTTTTATGAAATGACAGGTTATTAGAGTTTTGAACTGCACTCAGTGATGTATGGGTTAATGTGGATGAGAAAAACAAGAAGAAAGGTATTCAGGACTTCAGGTTATGTAAGCAATGCACCTTACCCTTGGTTCAGTAAAGCCTCATTCTAAAATGAAGTTATGAAATTGTACTTAACCAAAATTTGGTTCAATTTGTGTTTTTTTATTTTTTATTTATTTATTTTTATCGTCTTTATTATCAGCCTAAACAATACTTAATGCCAGAGTAGTAAATAAGAACCACAGAATAATTTTACAACAATGAGAGTACATGTCCATTTCCTATTGCTGTTGACACTCATTGTTCAATGTGAATATTGATGTCTAATGCGTATCAATTTCTTGATCTAATGTCGCCTTTCGTGTTCAATAAGGGAAGGTCACAATGTGAAACAACTAATGCCAACTCTATTCATAATCTTCTTAAGATGTAATCTTTGTCTGGTGGCTCACATCACATTAGCTGTTGCAAACTTGCAATATATTGCATCGGCTTCTGATGTTGCAAATTATCTTCCTTCTTCTTCAGTTGAATGATGCAGAGTCCCTGTAATTGATCTTCTGATAAAGCAAGCCAAACATGAAAAATATGAAGAAAAAAAAATTAAAAAATTAAGCTGCTGATATTCATCTCTGCACTTTACTGTAATGTCTTTGCTTTACCTACTTCTGAGTTAGCTGAATGCTAGATACTTCACCAAGCCTTGATATTCAATCCGAATACTTTCAAAAAATATAAGTCTTATCAGATGAACCCGGGAGTTCCCCCAAACGCTTCAGTAGGACTAAAGCAATTTTCACCTAATGAAGTGCTCAGAGGAACTCTAGGGAACACCTGATGTGTTCAACTGCCAATGCTTGATGCATGAGATTTTGTTGGTCTTGCTATTTATAGCAACTTGTTTGATATTTTGGTCAGTAAAATTTATATTCTTATTTGATGATACATATAGAACCTAGCCGTTTTCCTGGGCCAAGTTAGACATACATGAGCAGAACAATAGAACAGTATTGAGTGGTCAATATGCTTTTTATTTTTGATTTTTTTTTTTTTTTTGGGTTTTGGTTTTGTTCTACGTTTTATGCTTAACTTGATTCATGTTTTTTTATAGTTCTGTCTTTAGTTTAATTATACATGCTTATATGACACGCCTTTATCTTTCTGTTTTTCTAAAAAAACGCGACTCTTTATAATATTTTTCTTTTTTGACAGGGACTCTTAATAAATTTTTTTGTTGCATTCTTTTTTCTATAATTTGTTGAACAATGTGCTTGTGATTTAAAAGTTGTGCGGTTAATTTTCCTTATAAGTACTCTCCATTATGTTAATCTATGACTTTGGTACGTTTTTTTCCTTGTTTGTGAGTGCAATATCTTTCTTACTTGTATAATCAACATAATAGCAGAAAAGTGACATTCAGTACATTTGTGAACATTTTCAAAGCCAATAATGCCTTTAATAAATTCCATATTGTTTTGTCTTTCATTAATGCCTTTCTTATTTAAGAAGTTGCTGCAATATTAGTATCACTTGGTATATATTGTTACCACTTCTGTACCGGAAATACTAGCCTAAATTGCAGTTTTTCTATAGGGAATAATTTTTCTAATCAGAAGCTTTGACTGATGGTGAAGCTAATTGCAGTAAAAAAAGTATAGGGAAAATATGACGTGGGAAGAAAAGGAGCTAATTAGCAACTTCGGGAGTTTTAGACCAAGCTGTCATCCCATATATGCACAATATTAGTGTTCAATTTTTGATCAAATTAATCTTTCTAATTAGTAAAATAATTGTTTTCGGTGTCTTGATCAGTCCATGTTTACCTGAATGTTTGATAACAAAGATGAACAAAAAAGACCATTACTAAGAAATACAAGCAACATTTTGAATTGATGAATTCTAGTACTGATCAAACTCGATCAAGCAGAAATTCATTGGACACAATTTGTTCAGTTTATGGTTCATTAGCAGCAGCCCAGCAGCTGAAACTTATAGTATTGATGTATTTTAGAATTCTGAAGGATTGGGGGACAGTTATGCAGTAACCCTGAATGCACTTAGGTGTTTTGCACTGTGTAAGTCTGCAGTCATATGCTTGTCAAATAATCTGCAGCAAATTTATGTTTATATGATGCTTAAATGCTAGGACAACTGTATTTTTTCTTTGCGCTTTACCTGAGAGTATTATGTCACCTATTTTCGGTGAATTCATCTCCTCCATGTTTACCAAATTTTATATTCTCTGTTTTCTATACATGATTGCAGGGTGCAAGAAATACCATATGGACTAATTTCTGTGAGTAAGAGAGCAAGATTGAAGTGGTATTTGTGGAGATTATTACGTAAGGCTTGCCATATTTCTTGTAAGAAAGTGCAAATCAGTTACTGGGATATTAAGGTGCAAATCTATATTATCATGTTCGGTATGCTTCTAGTCTTCTTCTATACATCTCTTTGTTCACTTGGATAGATGTTAAGGAGTGATATTCTGTCAGTGTATTACAATACATAATTGAAGAACTTCGTGAGGTTGAAATGTGCATGCTTAACATATGTAACATGATAGATTAGAATGCATTGGTAAACAGGCAAACAGGGAAGTTGAGCCGGTAGCTACCTGTTAGAAATCCTAGTTATGGCTAGCAACTGAATTCAATCTACACATGACAGTCTAATGGGAGATCAAATGTAGCTACACCTATCTATAATTCATTTTAGTGTCTCCTTGGCTTCTGCCTAATAAAATGGCTGTAGCACTATTGAAGTGTTTGGGGGCCTTTCGCGACCTCTAGGGGGCACTTGATTTATACAAGTAAAGGATTGCCAAAAATATGTTTATCTCTTCTCTACATTTCAGACCACTCTTACTTTCAACTTGGACCCTATGGTTTATTCCCTCCGTCACAAATTTAAGTCCACAGTTGGAATCAGCTCGGAGATTAAAAATAGTTGTTATGTGTAGTAAACAAAAATTGAAATGGCTAATAGCGGAAAAAACAACAAAGTAATAAAAAGTGTTTGTTTAGAGAGGGCAAAGGACGAGGAAGAGTAAAACTGAAGTGTCAAACCTTTTTCTTTTGGGACAAGCTGAAAGGGTGTGTGTGTGTGTGAAGTTGATTTTCGGATAGAAATTGTATGAATCTTGTTAGAAAATACATGTTAGATGAGCCGAGAAGCTGCCTTGGCAACATGGACATAATAACGTTCCTTTAGCCCTTCGCCTTGTAACCTCTTTTTTTATTTTTTGTCCCTCTATGTAGCTCGGAATTTAGTCAGAACTGTGGGTTATATGAGTAACAGAATCAATCAACTTTCCTAGAATATTATTCTGATTTTGTTTGGACGAGCTTTTACATAGCATGGAACAAAATCATGCTTTTTCTTATTGAATATTCTTAGTGTAAGACTACATAAGATATTTCCCTTAAATTCTGGTTTTGTAGAAACTGCATTGATTCAAGTATTAGTGGAATAAAGATGAAGAAAAGGACATTGAGATATACAAGGTGGAAAAGTTTTATGTACATGATTCTCTACATTTAACTTTCTGTTCTGTACCTTTTACCAAAGCCGTATTACGGACTAGATGCAATTTGTTATGTTGCACTTGGCCTGAATATCGGTTCTATATTGCTGTCTTTCGCAGTTCAGAAGAAACAATGATCAATGAGCTAAAACATAGTCAAGTCTTTTGCCTTATAAATTTGTTGTCGCAATGCATTTGGTATCAGCAACCCATGGAGTACAGTCATGTATCCTCTGGAGTTCCCTCGGAACACTTCAATGGAGACATAAATGGCTTTTAGAAAGGAAGCTTTTCTCTACTGAAGTGTTTGGGGGAACTCTAGGCGGTACTTGACAATGTAAGGTGGCATTTTGATTTTTGAGGCAGAGCATCTTTTCTGTTGTACTATTAAGCAACTTTCAAAGATTTACCATGAAGCTTTGCCTTAAAAAATGCTGTGCATTGAAATGCATTTGGTATTCTCAAACAAAGGATGTCAGGTGTCCTCAGGAGTTCCCTCGGAACACTTCAATGGAGATACATAGAATATGGCTTCTCGAAATGAAGCTTTTCTCTACTGAAGTGTTTGGGGGAACTCTTGGAGGTACTTGACATTGTATATTGGCAATTTTGAGGGCAAAGCAACTATCTACGCCTTTTGTTTGTATTTAGTGACAGACTTTTAACATGAAATAATAACAACTTTATTGATGAAGTATGCTACACTATGTGTCTAGTAAGAATATAAGATATTATTTAAAAAATGTCTGTAGTTTATAGTCTTTATACTAGTACAAATTTAAAGGTGCCAATGATTTAAGTTATGCATTAAAGATCAGAAAAGTACCAAGTTTACAAGGTTTTTCTTTTTATTTAGGAATGTTGCTAATATTCATATAGAATAATGTCAATGTTGCCAACAGCACCGCAATTGCAGATGTGGCATACACTTATGCCAAGTCTTCACCGTGTTTGCTAATATCAATCTTTACACTTGTGGTATTGATGTGTGGAGTTTCATTTATAGACTAAACATTGTTGGTGTTTTTCGTGAGCAACTTCAAGTTGGTCCCCTTTTTTTTTTTTTTTTTTTTTACATGAAATATGAAAATGGAGTTTTTTGTGAACAACCTCATATTGGTCTTACACATCACCAAACATTATTATTTTGTTTCAAATAAAAGATATAAGGGTATGTTCTCTTCTGCTTATTTTAATTTTAGTTGGGAAATTTTGCCAACAACTACATTTTAAATGACCACTTTTGTGAACAACTACCATTTAAAATTTTCCTTTAAAAAAACTACCACAAAGTCACAAAAACTTTGAGTAGCACTACCACGTTTTATTTTCCGGGAAGAATTTCTGGTTGAGAAAGCCTAGTTTATAAAATTTCAATCAATTGTGGTATAGAAAACAAGAGATTTCGATAGTAAAACACAATCATAAGTCAATTATCTTTAATTTTGCATTATAGTTTATTTAATTTCTCAATTAAATCTTAATATTAGGGTTTATGGTCAAAAAATTGAATTAAGGGCTTTACGAAATTGGGGGATTTGGGACAATTGAAGTGTATAATCCAATTAAGGTTTAATGTAGTGCAATATTATCATTTAATTTGGGTTTTTTGAGGGAAATTTTATAAATTATACCCAAAAACGGGGATTCTTGTCGGAAACAATAAATGTAGTAGTGCTACTCAAACTTTTTATATTTTTGTGGTAGTTTTTTCAAAAAAAAATTTGTAAATGGTAGTTGTTCTAAAAAATGGTTATTTAAATGATAGTTATTCGCAAAATTTCCTTTTAGTTGATTTCAGTTCCCAATTGTCTTCTCTCATAAATATTTAATTCAGCTCAGCTCGGTAAATGAGAACAGGCCCTAAGACCAGTATTTGTACAACCAAATTTTTACAACAGTAACAACACTCAAAGTATCTTTTGTACGGAGTAATTAATTTAAGAAAAAAGGACATTCGGAATAGTTCCAACTTCCACACTAAGGCCTTGTTTAGTTCATCTTATTTTTACTTATTTCAGAAAAAATAGGTTCAGATCGAAAAAAATAAGTTCAGAACAGATCATTGTTTTATGTACAGTTTTTTATCGCTAAAATTTCGTAATTAAAAAAAATTGTGAAAATTACATATTAATAAAATAGACATTATTACGAATCTAACAACATTCACTTGATATATTTTTTTCTTATAGATTATAGTACATTTAAGGTCAAAGACCAGATCAGATGAGCAAAAATAAGGTGAACCAAACAAGCCCTAATTTTATTAAAAAATTAAAGTTATTACTCTCTAACGAATGTCTCCTTTTGAAAGAGTAAAGTCACTCTAATTTCACAATAAGTAGAATTATTTTGTGATTGTGATTAGGGTGGTATATTATGAATTTGCTATGAAAAAGCATTAATGCATGCATCAGTATTGTCTTTGCTTCATTGAGTGTCTGTCAAAGGCAATACAGTTTATTTCTTTCACATCATTGTATTGATCGAATTGACATGGACAGTCTGAGGCTATTACTACATCTCACCTCTTTATTCTCTAGCTTATACTTTTATTTGATCATACTATGCATCTAAGAAAGTATAGTAGTTTATACTACTATGGACTGTCAGCTGCAACAGACTTATTTTCAGACATATATATCAGCTTACATAGACAGTGAAATTACATAGTTCAGATCAGATTCCGGGAGAAGGTGGAGGTTGTCCGGGACATGTACAATAACCATGAAAACACAATGGTGCTTTGCACCCTGTAAGTCTACAGTCATATTCGTTGAAGCAAGGTACCTTTCGCACATCTTTGTTTGGATTATTATCGGACTTCAGAGCTTCTGATGTTGCTGCTGTGCTTGATATGATCAGTGTTGCCAATAACAGCACCAACACTGCTTGTTTCGACGAAGCCTGCTTCCCCATTTCTGCTAGCTAGACTGCTAATTTATCTTTGTGTAGGTTTATGTTTGATTTCTTGATGCAAGGTATAGATTAGAGGCATGTTACGTTATTTATAGGGTAGATATTGTTGGTTTAAAATCCAACAAAGAGATGTATGTATTTGTTTTTTATGGGGATCAATAACTTTGTCAAAATGTAT